AACAGCTCCGACCGTCATTTGTTTTACAAAGTAAAAGCTTCTCCTGTGCGCCGCTTCATTATCAGCACTTAAAATTCTTCGTGGTCAGAACTGCGAGTCCGAGTAAACAGAGGAGAAGCTGGAGGCGATTAGAGAGAGCGATGTGTTGACAGTGTGAGAGCGAGCAGAGCAGGGGCCCCAAAGGAAAGCAGGAAAAACTCAGCAGTAATCAGATTACTCTCAGTGTTACAGCTGTACTCAGTAAACACTTTAAAGCTGAGGGAAATGGAAACTTAAGAAAGTGTTTCTCTTTCCCACCACGAGCTCAGATCACAACGTTTGTTTACATATAACCAGATTATAACCAGATTATAACCAGATTATAACCAGATTACGCCGTGTAAGAGGATTCCTGACACGTTTCAGTAAACAAGGATTACTGTTCCTGTAATCAACACAGGCGTCAGAGGAAGCGTCTCAAGATTTCCACAATAAGACGGCAATTGTTTGACAATAAAGACATCACACTGCTGCCAAACATTACATTTTGTTTTTATTTATTTATGTTATTAAAGTTATAATGAGAAGAAAACTGATCTTAAGATTAAAAAGAGTCAAAGATTTATAGACAAACAATCTGAAATAAAAAAAAGCTTTAATTGTTTATATTTTGGTATAACTGTGTCTGACTGTGATACAATATTAGGAAAGTCCTACAAATCTTATTAAAGTCATGTTTTAAGTCAAAATAGTTACAATACAGAAGTTAAATGACTTAAATTACAAAAGGTTTTGAAGAAAAAAGTAAAATGGTGTTGATGGAGTTTACAATAAAGTTTAATAACAAAAACAAAACAGTAACAAAAGTAAGTAAATAAAGTATATAAGTAAATAAATAATAATAAAAATAAATAATAAAATAAATAAGTAAGTAAAGTAAGTAATAAAACAGACAAATGTATTGTGCATTAGTATGTTAATTGTTTCAGCAAATCAGCAGTTTTATTAAAAACATGTTGAAAAATAATTCTGTCAACAGTTACAAATAAATGAATGTCTCAGTTCATCAAAGGTGGTTAAAAAACAGCTGTTGTGTTTTTATACGAAATTCAACTGAATTTCTAAAACAATGAAAAGAAGGCAAAAATTGTATTTATTAAAGAACAATCCAAAATTAGTTTTTAAAAGTGTAAACGTAATATTTTATGAAAAACGTCCAATAAATGAAAATGTATTATTTAAAGAAACTGTTTTAAAGTTATAACGAGTCAAATGTTAAAGTCCTTTAATTAAGAAACATGTAGATTTAATTTAATGTTATAAAAACATTTGTTGCGTTTGAATATAATGAAAATAAAATCTAAGATTTTAGAGAAAAAGACAAAAAAAGGAAAATATGTAGGAAACTTGATCATTTCTCTGATGTGATTCTGAAATTCAATGTTTAAAGCGGTTTGTTAAAAACAGTCATGGGCACACTGGACTCTGATAACAGTAACTATAGTAACTATTGTTAAGTAAATAACAGGAAGTGGTGTGGGTCACAGTAGAGGAGTGGCTGTGTCAACCAGTGTTCAGCTTCTTACAGTGAGTTTAATATTCACACAAACTGCTGCTCAGTGACTAAAATCACAGTCTGTGCAAACGAAATATGGTTTAAATGGCTGTTATTCATGAAGCTTCACATCAGCTGTTTTACAGAAAAGATGAAGAACAGAGAAGCACGTGATTATTTACTTTATTTACTTTTCAAACGTAGCTGAAAATTCTGTTACTTTTAGTTTGAAAGTTGAAAGTTTTAGGAGATTTCTACAATAGTTGTGTTACGCTTTGATGAATTGTTGTTGAAGTATTCGGGGACTCTCGCGCCGGCTCCTTCACGCCGCTCAGCGTCCTTTCAGAATAAGACCTGCGGTGTGGGGGATGGTGCAGCCCTGAAGGAGAAAGTTATTATTGCGCTGTTGTTGAAGTCGTGTGCAGCTGTTTACTTTAATGAGTGAACGAGAGGGTTGTGGGTGAACTGCTGGAGCAGCTGCTGCGGCGTTTCTCTGGAGGAAACGCGCTGTAATCGGAGGCCGTCCTGCCTCCGCGCTCGCCGCACGTTTCCGTCCTGTTTCCACGCTTCCTCTCCTCTCCGCCATCGCCGCGGGATGAAAGCAGAGCGAGGTCGCCGCAGGCCACAGACGGCTTGGTTGTCCAAGTTTCCTGTTATTCTGTGCGAGGTCAAAGGTCAGCTGACTGCAAGCGGGAAGCGCTGCGGCGGCGACAGCAGAAGCTGCAGACGTCCTCTGCTTGTCTCTGCTTCTGAGGGAGGGGGAGGGGCAAGAGCCAGGCTGAGTGAAGAGGTCAGAGGTTAACTAGTGCTGCTTAAGCAGAGTGTGTGCGTGCTTACTCTCGTGCTTGGCAGGGGAGGCCAGTGATGACATCATGGCAGCACTTTCCACATCCTGTTGAAGCCAAGGTCACTTCCTGTCTCTTATTGTCTTATTGCTGCACTCCTCCCTTCATCCCTTCATCCCTCTGCGGCGTTCCTGATCCCAGCTCGGAGCATTACTCACATTCCAGCCACTAAACCACAGAGACAAACCTCCAGCTTCACTCTCTGCTCTTTTTAAGATAATCATGAGTTCATTCTTTAATATTTCCTGTAAATGACCAAATCTACCTCTACGTCACAAACATGTTTCATTTCCAATAAAAGGCTCCAGATGTTCGTAAACATCTGTTTGCTGGGAGTGTACATGAGGAGAGGCGGGTGTGTTTCTTTGGGACTGTTTCAGGGACGACCACTGACGGGTTTAGCTGTTTCTGGACACACTGAGCTGCTTTTACTGCTTCCAGGTTCACTGTCATGTTTGAGTGGAACATTTGCTTTGGTTGGGACTCGCTGGCACGCCTGATACCTTCATGTTGGTTTTAGTCCCATTGTTCTGAAGCCTCGTCCTTGGCTGCCGTGGTAGAGCCTGAGGCCAGGAGGCAGCAGTACAACAGGTCAAATCTTCTCTGACTGACTCAAACTGGTTATGTTCAGACAACATTCAATGTTTTTACAATTTGTAGAACTAATTATTACTAAAAGATCTTTATAAATGCAACTGCAAAGCTGTGTTACTACATTTTATTGCTTTAAAATTAATGTTCGTATAATATTCGCGTTTTGGCTGCTGTCACATCCAAATAAAATTCTGGAATTTCACACAAAAATGGAGCCCGGCTGTCTTTTAGTCCAACTAACCTCACAGCAGTTTATTATTGGTCAGATAATTGTATTAGAAATGCTCCAAAAGGCTCCAACGGCACAAATCCAGTCCAGAGGTCCAGTTCAGGCTGCCTGCCGTAGAGCCCACATCGCTAATAATTTCAACTTTAATCCTTTTTTTTAAGCCTAACCAGTTTAAACAGGTGCGGTACAAAAAGAGTAGACCCCCCTATAGATGACGTAATAAACATCCAGTGCATTTACAAGCAGAGTTAAATGAAACTTAATTAAAAAAGTAGAGGACCAATAATAGAGCCCTGTGGAACTCCACCTGTGATGTTTCTCTGGTTTCTGCACATTTGTCTGAGCTTTTCACTGCATAACAGTTATTTGGATGTAAAACGCTTCAGGTCAAACCTTCAGAGGCTTATTATACACGTGTAATCATTTTTACTTAAACACCCTGCTGTTTCTGCACTCTATGATTATACCTGGTCTATTGTTAACCCTTTAAGACCGACCATAGAGCTTATATTATATTTTTACATGCTGTGGAGCCATTTTTGGGAGCATTTCAAGTTGCTATACATCAATACAACCATTACAGCCCA